GACCACCCCGCCCCCGGCAACACGACCACGCTCCCCTCAACACGACCACCCTGCCCCCGGCAACGCAACCACCCGCCCCCAACCAACGCAACCACCCTGCCCCCCAGCAACGCGACCACCCCGCCCCCCGGCAACACGACCACTCCACCCTCAAACAACACGACCACCCCGCCCACAACCAACGCGACCACCCCGCCCCCCGGCAACGCAACCACCTCGCCCTCCAGCAACACAACCACCCAACCCCCGGCAACGCAACCACCTCGCCCCCCAGCAACACGACCACCGTTCTCCTCAACACAACCACCCCACCCTCAACCAACACGACCACCCCGCCCCCCAGCAACAGGACCACCCCACACCCCGGCAACACAACCACCGCACCCCTCAGCACCTCCATTACGACCCCGGCCCTGATCAATTTCTTTCTCTCGTTCCGCATTGTGAACTGGAACTTCAACAACTCCCTTCGCGACCCCACCACCAGTTACTACAAGGATTTATATTCCAAAATCCAGAGCATGGTGAGCACAGCAGTCCCTCCCTCCCCTCCCGGCCCCCTGCCCCTGCCTGCCAGCTGGGGGCGGCTGCCAGCCCCAGGCTGGGGGGCTCCCCGGGGAGCTCCATCGAGCTGCCGTGTGATGAGCCTTCGGGGCTCTGGTGGCTGCTGCAGTTCGGGCTCCACAGGCAGAGACCCCACGGAGCGGGGAGGGGAGACGCCCCCACCCCACCCCCAGGCCCAGCCCTGGGCACCAGGCCCCTCAGCCCCACAGTCTCCTGTCCTGGAGCAGTGAAGGGAGAGTCCCTCAATCCTGTCTGGGGAGCCCCCCTGCACCCCCCGGGACCCTGCCCTCGGCTCTGGGCCCCTCTGCCCCTCTCCAGCCAGTTCTGGGGAGACACCCTGTGCCCCGGCACCCCAGAGAAGAGCAAGGAAGGTTGGCAGGGGCTGGGGTAGATCTGCCGAGCTGGGTGCTCCCTGCCCCCCTGAGCCGGCTGGGGTGCTGGCAGTGACCCTGTTCCCCTCTCTGTCTGTGACAGTACAACAAGACCTACGGCTGCCCAACGTGCCCGAATGGGCAGAACTACCTGGGATTCACTGATCTGCGTTTCAGGTACAGTGTGTGCCATGGGGCTGCCCCAGCTGTGGGCAGGGGAGGGGGCAGCCTGCTGCCTCCGAGCTGGGGGGGTGGGGTGAG